TCTTTGCACCCATGTGCTCCCTAAATGACCCAAAGTCAGAGCTTTGGCTATGTCCCAGGTCCTGCTTGTGATCATTGCTTCTGTTTGATGTCAACCCACATCTTCCTTTGTGGCTGCTTTGGTGGACTTTAGTGCAACCCATAAACAGTCAGAGAAGTCCTTCTCTGGTTGGGCAGGATTGGTCTTCCTGGCCCATGCAGTTTTTCCAGCCTGTAATGCCAGAGATTCAGGAGGCCGAGGCAGAAGGATCCCTTGAGGCCGAGGCCAAGGCCAACATGAGAAGATCCCAACTCTAAAGATAAAAGATAACAATTACAAATTAGCTAGGAGTGGTGGTTCACATTTGAGTCCTAGGTATTTGGGAGGCTGGGGCAGAAAGATCACTTGAGGGCAGGAGTTCAAGGTTGCGGTGAGCTCTGATCATTACTGCACTACAGCATGGAGCATAGAGCAAGACATTGTCTCAAAAAGAAAAAAATCTTAAAGGACACAGTATGAAGACATTCCTCTTACTATGATATTGGCTGTAGCCTTCATCAGGCTAGAGGAAGCTTTTCAATTTCTTTTGTAAGAGCTTTGAAAACTAAGAGATGCTGAAGTCTCTTGGTCTATGGAAATATATCAAGGAAATGGTGGTGTGTTTTATCCTCTATGTCTGTCCATGTGGTGAAGAATATTATCTCATCTTGAATAATCCCTAGAATAAGTGTGGATTGATTTTCATGTATCTTTTGTGGGGCCCCCTTTGTATCGCATTAGCTAATAATCTGTGTTGGATATTTGTGTCCAAGTACTTCATTGAAATTGGCCAAATAGGCCGGGCTCAGTGGCTCAGCCTGTAATCCCAGCACTTTGGGAGACTGAGGTGAGCGGATTGCCTGAGCCCATGGATTCAAGACCAGTCCAGGCAACTTTGCGAGACCTCATCTCTACCATAAATAAAAACTTAGCCAGGTGTGGTAGCACACGCCTGTAGTTCCAGCTACTTGGAGGGCTGAGGTTGAAGAATCCCCTGAGCCCAGAATGTCGATGCTGCGGTGACCGTGAGTGTGCCACTGAACTCCACCCTGGCAACAGAGTGACACTCCAACTCAAATAATAATAATAATAATAATTGGCCAAATAAACGCAAATTTTACTTTTTAGCTGGGGGAGTCTCACTCTGTTACCCTGGCTGGAGTGCAGTGGCACAATTACAGCTCACCGCAGCCTCAACTTTTTGGGTCCAAGCAATCCTCCCATTTCAGCCTCCCAAGTAACTAGTACTACATGCGTGCACCACCACGCCTGGCTAATTTCTTTATTTTTTGTAGAGACAAGGTCTTGCTATATTGCCTGGACTGGTTTCAAACTCCTGGGCCCAGGCAACCCTCCTGTCTCTGGTGACCAGAACGTTGGGATTATAGGAGTGAGCCACCTCACCTGGCCTAGGCAGATATTAAAAAGACAAATTTACCTTAAGTGTCACCAAACAGCCGGGCGTGGCAACCTTAAACCTCTGCCCACCACAGGGAAATCCCTCAAGCAGCCTACAGGCCACTGAATATCTCCAGAATCCAGCATCACTGGATGAAACGGTGCCCTGGTGTCAGCAGATAAGGAGGCTCTCCAGGGACTGTAGGAATTAGTCAACTTGAGCAATCTGCCTTCTTTACAGCTTCCTACCTTTCAGCCCTCCAACTTTTATTTCACTTTTTAATGTCTCCCTATTACCATGCTAAAGCTAAAGTTTCCACCCCGGGAGGAGCTATAATACTTCATTATAACATGTGACCTATGTGCTGGCATGACGACTCACTGTATCTGCACCACTGAGACCCTTCCTCTACAAACTATGATGCACCCTCTCTCCTCTCCACTCCTCATGAAATCCACCTGAGACTTTTGCCCAGAAAGACCTTGCTTGGGAGAATACTCCCAGTGCTCTCTTTACTGTCACAAGTAATAATACAACTATGGATCAAAACCTGCATTCTCTTAGTGAATTGTTGCTCACAAAGTGAACAAGTACCAATGTATTTTGGTTAACAGTGACTCCTCTCAAGAGCTGGTGGCCAGCAAATTTGGTTTGGAGGCATCTCTGAGCCCATGGAGCGGACACCATGAGCAAAACTCATCCTCCCAAGTTGAAAAAATTTATGGACAAGAACTTATCACTGAAACTAAGTGGTGACAGACATGTCCAAGGAATATTATGGGGATTTGACTCCTTTATGAATCTTGTGATAGATGGATGTGTGGAGATGGCAACTAGTGGACAACAGAACAATATTGGCATGGTGGTAATATGAGGAAATAGCATAATCATATTAGAAGCCTTGGAATGAGTATAAATGGTTTTTCTTTTCTTTGTTTTTTTAAAAGAAATGCGGGAGCTTTATTTAATCATGATTATTCTTGACATTAACAACTGATCAATTCACTTAGGAAAACATTTTGTATTCAGTGATCTCAAGCCCATAGATGCATGCCAGCCAGATCTAGCTAAAAGCACATGAAAACCACACTTTTGGATGCGGTGGCCCTCCCTCCAGCTGCAGAATGGAAAGTATTAAGGATGCTTCTAATATTCTGTAGCGGAACGTGCATGACCTATGTAGACTTGAGTTCGTGGTGCTGCTTGCTCTAGGTGTTTCTGGCTTCAGAAGTCAGGCTGGGAAGAGGGCACTCACTAGGTGAACTCCCTGGCAGTGTCAGAGTCTCTGAAAGTCACCCTCATTTCAGCAATTAGGAAATACAAGATGTGATGACATATTGCCTTGAGGGTTACTCCTCAGCTATTTGAAGTCAACAGACAGGAAGCCAAACGCTGTCTCTAAGATGTGACGCTGTGCTCTGTACTCCATCAGGGAAAAGGCAGTGCTGGTTCTGACCAGGTCTGACCCTACCCTGTCCAGCTAGCAAAGATGTGGCCTGGAGAAGGTGCCAGAAAGGCTGGTAGTGTGGACACTGCTGGCTGGCAGCAAATCCATGGCTAGGACCAAGAGTTCAGATTTTCACGGTAGACTCAGAAAGCCCTTTGACTTTTCAAAAAGTAAAGCACCCCACAGCTGTGAGCCAGGGAGCAACCTAGGGCATCTCCAGGCATGAGACACATGCAGATACAGGAAAAATGGGACACACCCGAGTGATGATGGGCCCAGGCAGAGGTGTTCTCGGGGCAGGAGGAACCCTGGACAGTGAGCTGATTAGCCCGTGGGCTTTCCTTGCTCAAATGGAATGTGGTGCTTCATGTCCCCAGGGGGTCAAGGGGTAGGTTTTTATCTGGTCACTGTTATCTAGAAGTCCACTCCTCCACCCTGGTCTGCGGTCACTTCTGGAATTCAAAAGAGGCTCTAGAGGGGGTTACTGAAAAAAACACAAGTTTGCCTTGATTTCCCCAGTGGAGCCTGTCTTGATGGAGGCACTGCTGGGTTTCATTCCAGAAATACCCTTCCACACTGAGTTCTCCGTCCAGAAATAACCTATAGTGAGCACCCTCAGTGCTTGGCACATGCCTGTACCCTCAGTGCTTGGCACATTCACTCCTGGCAAACAAGAGCCACTTCCAAGACGTGTGTCTGTCTTTCACTTCTCTTCTGAGGGCTTCCTCATCTATGCCACGATCCTTTATCATGTGAGGGAAATTCGATATGGCTGCTGCCTGTTTCTAAGGTCCTTCCTATGCTTCCTGAAAACCACCCTCTTAATTAAATCCCCTATTACTATCTTGTAGGCATTAAGACTTTATTGTCCAATAGCTTAAAAAAGCATAAAATGATTGACCTTTTTTCCTAACCTTAATGTAAATTCTCCAAAATTTGGGCCTTCCTGTTTTTAAGACAACAGGCTCGGGGAATTCAGGTGACTGCTGAAATAGAAAACTACAACTGAAGACTGAATGATGTCATTTTACTCAGATCTTTGGCAAATTCTGCTACTGGTATGTCTGGGGGCCCAGGATCCTCACATGACACTCGGCCAAAGTTCCCTGTAGACAAAGTTTGGGGTTTGAGTCATTTCTAGTTTTAAATATGGAAATTGAAGGCAAAGGAAGGGTGCTTTGCTTTGCCTTAGATTTCCTACAGAGTTGTATTTGAGGAAAGTGGCAAGTCTCTTTGTCGGGGACAAATTTGATGCAGCTGCTGGGCCCTGCTGGGGCAGGCAGTTCTAGCCTGGCTCACTTGTTTGGTGGCTGGATGTGCTGAGTACCCGGGGAAGGATGCTTGTCCATGGGGGCATGGGGCTTTTGGTGAGCCACCTGCGCGGCCGCCAGGGGGAAGTCTTTGTCACCCCAGGCAATAACTCCAGAGATGAACACAGTCAGCTTAGGTGGACTGGGGCTTTTCCTTTCTTGGTCATCCTTGACTTTCTCTGCTTTGGTGTTGCCAGTGTGTGGGTATTTCTGCACAATCCGCATTCCACCAGCTTTTGCGGCGGGAGGTTGTCCAGCTTTAGTCTCTAGTTTCCCTTCGGGAGCTATTACAGGCCTGAGACACATGCAAACACAATAAAAACAGCAACCTGTTTGCCTTGATTCCCCTGGTGGAGCCTGACTTGATTATAGGCATGAGCCACCACGCCCTGCCCTCTGGATAGTTTTCAAAGTTCTTACAACAGAGATTGAAAATGTCCCTCTAGCCTGATGAAGCCTACAGTCAATATCATATAGGGGGGATGTCTTTGTACTGGATGCTCCCTCATAGAGCCCTTGGTGAATTCCTCATCTCCACTAATGGTAAACTCAGAGATCTTCTAGCAGGACATTGACTCAGTGGAATGAATGAATGGGTGAATGAAGATGACACAACGGGGAGGACAGGGTGGCAACTGGATTGGGGCCCTGTCCATGCTGGGGCCAGTGGCCAAGGGATCATCCCTACTCCCACTCTGAGGAGGCCTCCTGACCAGGGAGCTATGCTGGAGAGCTGATCTCTCTCAGGCCTCAAGGGGCAGGTTGCATTTGACCAAGACCTCAAAGATGCCCGGGGAGGTCCTGTCTTTGGTTTTTGGCAGATGCCATCTACACACAGACCTTGGTGATGAACATACAGTGCGTAAGGACACCCAGGCCCGCGGGACCCACCTGGCGACAGCCTCTAGTTGGGAGGTCTCCTGTGGGACCCACCTGACGACAGCCTCCAGCTGGGAGGTCTCATGGCCCATTTCTGCAAACTGCCTGTAGGTGTCATTTCCTCCTGTTGGGACCCAGGCTGTTTCCTTGGTCACACTCACACTTCTGTTCTTAATCTGTGCCCAGGGATCCAGTACTAACTATGGAGGCACTGATGATGCTCCATGCCACGTGTCCAGCTGGGGGCACTTTCCTGAGCCCCAGACACCAACAGTAATCAACTCAGCATCCTCTGCTCAGTATGTTCAAATCCAAGTGCATGACCTGTCCTCCCACCTCATCGCCTGCCAGTGGGGTATTCTCCTCTCCACTGTCCCCTTATACTCACTTCTCTCCATTCCCTCCCATCCCCAAGTTCATACCATGCCTGTGGCCTGGACTGCTGGGATTCCTCTGTGGTGAACTGCTCTTGGAGAGAGGATGCTACTTTCCTGCCCTGGGTAGCAGACTTGGCCATTGACTTCCTGTGCTCAGTGAGAGATGAGCAGAGTGGCATGAGTGACTCGAGGCAAAAGACTGAAGCCCCAGGGCCTGGTTGGCCCATGTCCTGTGATGTGGACACAGTAGATAAGGTGGAACTCACCTTATCATGCTGGAGATGAGCCACTGCGAGTCATAGGTTGTCACCATAACAAAGAGGCACCCTCCCTGGCCAGAACAGCTTCTGAACCACTTGTCATCTTGTATCCTTCCTAGCTCCTCCTGAGGGGCAGTCAGCCTTGTCTTTCTAGAAGCCTGGGGAGGTGAGATGATTCCCAGTCTTACCTCTTACTAGTTTGGACACTTGCCTAGCTTATCCTCAGTTTCCCCACCTGTAATTTGGAAATGACAGCAGTGGCTTACATAAGCACCATGGAGCCTACATGCTTGTGACAGTCCCCTCTGATGCCAGAGGTAGTACTGTCACAATGGCCTGAGTGACCTGGTCCCTGCCAGCCTCACATCAGCTGCCCTTGTTCTCTGAGTCGTGGCACACAGTCTTTCAGTGCCACGTTCCTGGCTCAGTTGTTGGTCCTGAAATGCAGTTTGCCCACACTTTCCCCCATCTGACTCTGGCTTATCCTTCGACCTCAACTCAGTCTCAGTTCCTTGGCTTGGTCAAGTTCCACATGAGCCCAGTGCTTGCCCTGTCCTTCCAGGCTGTCTCTATGTTTCTATTTGTGAGCTAAGGCTTCATGCCTATAGCTCAGAGCAGCCACAGAAACAGATGTGAGAACAGCAGCTGCAAGCCACACCCACCTGCGGAGCGACGGATGGTCAGGTGGGCAGCAGCTGGGGAGGCGGAGAGGGACACTGAGTCCCACGAGCCTGCCTGGCCAGGCTCACCTGATCCTCAACCCCAGTTTTACATATAAACTGAAGAAGTCTAAGCTTTCTTCGGAACGGGAACCCCTGGATAGGGAAAGGGGCCAAAAGTGGCACAGATCTCACCAGTGCAGAGACAGTTAAAAAAAAAAAAAAAAAGCAAGTTCGGGAATCCGAGGTTCTTCAAACTTCATCTCGCTGACAGCAGCAGCAGCACTGCAGCACGCTCCGCACTCATCGCCTGTGGAGTGACAGATGGTCAGGTAGGCGGCGGCTGGGTATGCGGAGAGGGACACCAAGCCCCAGGCGCTCCCCCGTTTGGGCACACCTGATTCACCCGCACAGAAAACGGACAGTTGACTCTCCTGAGTGGAGAGGGAGAGCGTCCAGCTTGTGCTAGTGGATAGGGGCGGCATGGGCCGTCTCTTTCCGAGAAAGAGGTGGGCCCTGTGGGGGGGTCCTATATGGGGGTATTTCCCGTGAAGGGGTCCAGGGTAGGCAGGTCTCCCGTGAGGAGCGGCTCCCGAGCGGCTTCTTCTGTGGGAGTTTCTTGGCAGGGGGTCCTAGAAGCAGCCCTCCATCCCTCTCCCACTCTGGGCCCGCACTTACGCGATCCTCCCTGGCCTGCTTCTCCATGGGCGAGCTCGCGGGGTCCTGCACCGGCCCACACCTGCGGGGCGGGAGCGATATAAACGACCTGGCCAGATACCACGGTTGCCCCTTCCTCCCCCCGCACAGTGTGGCCCTACCCCAGGCCCTTAGGGTTCCAGGCTCTTCTGCAAGGCATCCGGGGCAGCCGCAGCCTCCGTCACAAAGAAGTGCGGAGGGGAGAGGGCGACTCAGGGTTGGGGGAGGAGGCTTCCTGGGGGCTGGGCTGCAGGGGAGCTGGAAGGCACCCATGCCCCTGTGATGGCTGTCGCACTTACTGGGCCTCCTCTATAATGGGTGCCCCATTGACTGGCCTTCCTGTGTGACTGGTGTTCCAGTGAATGGGCCTCCACCATAACGTGTCCTCGTGACAGGACCTCCCTTGTGATCACTGCCCCAGTGACTGGCCTTCATATATCATGTGTGACTCAGTGACTAGCACTCTTCTGAAACGAGTGTCACGGTGTCTTGGCCTCCTCCAGAGGCGAAGGCCGCAGGGGAGCCCGAGGTGAGTGGCTCTCGGGGCAGGGCCGAGGGGACGTGGCACCTGTATGACATCCCTTTGATCTTCCAAGGCAGGCCAGGCCTCCTTCCTCTGCTTCTAGACTTGGGTATGGGCATCCGGATTAGTTTGGGGGCCACGCAGCTCCCCACCGCCCTGGAACTGCCTTGGGCGAACCCACACCCTAAGCCGACCCTCCCCACAGTCTCCAGTGCTGCCTGCATCTGCCGGATGATCTCCGCCGGCATGGCGTGCTTGGCCTCCAGCAGCTCCAGTTGTTGCTGAAGGAGGGATCCTGCTCTTCAATTTCAACAGTTGAAGCCTCAATTGGGCAGTTCTTTCAATTTTCTCTGCAGCTCCAGATATGATTCTTTCTGGGTAGAGATCAGTCAGGAATAGGCTGAGAGTCAACTTTCCTAGACCTGATTCACCAACCACCATCAGCGTGAACTCAAAACCTTTTTTCACAGATTTTCGGTTAACTTGATTAGGAAGATTTGCAAATCCAACATAGCCAGGAGTCTCTGGGTTTATAAACTGAGTTGGTTATTGCTTAGACATCTTTTGTGAAGTTTTGTCCGCCACACAGCCGAGAATAGGCGAATCCCCACTTTTCACATGAACACAGACTCTATTCCGTCACGAAGTACACAGTCCACAGAGGAGCGCAGCGCCTGCTGTGAGTGGGAACTCCTGGGTGGGGATGTGAATGGCCACACGCAGCCAAAGGCGGCACACACCTGACCGCAGAAGGGACAGGAACGAAACAAGCAAGTTGAGGGACGAGAGGCAGGCCAGCTCCAGGGGCGCTGGAGCTGTGGGAGGGGACCGGGGCAGGGCAGTCCCAGGATCCCGCCCGGGTTGCCAGGTCCACCGCGAGGCGCCTCCGGCGTGAGGTCCGCGTGCAAGTCCCGGTGCCCGCCGAGTCCAGGTGCCAAGCCCGGCAGTGGGGCCCCGAGGGACACACGAGCCCAAGCTGGCCTGCTCTCGTTCGCCTCCCGCGGGTGCGCGGAAACTGCGCAGGACACAAGCGCCGCGGCCGTCCCGCCGCGCTCAGGTGGGCAGCAGCTCGCCCCGCAGCTCCAGCAACGGGGACAGCGTGTAGCGCAGGCGGCAGAAAGCGACGGCGGAGCCTTGGCCCCAGAGTCCAGGGGGCGTTCCTCAGCACCACGCAGAGCAGCGACAGAAGGAAGACCAGCGGGAACAGTAGCGGCCCCTGCAGCGCGCCCCTGCGGCAGACGGAGGGACATCAGGAGACGCCGGCTGGGGAGGCGGAGGGAGGCACTGAGCCCCGCGCGCTCGCCCGCCGGGCTCACCTGACCACCCTCGCAGCCATGTCACCGAAGAGCCGCTTCTCCTGCGGATGGGAGAGAGCGTGTCCTGCTCGCGTTGGAGGATAGGGCGTGGCTTCGGCCTGCTCTGTTCTAGAAGGAGGGGGTCCCAAGGAGGTCCTACATCGGGGTATTTCGCGTGAAGGGGCCCAGGGTGGGCAGGTCTTCCGTGAAGGGCGGGTCCCATGCAGGTTTCTTCTGTGGGGTTCCCTGGTAGGGGGCCCCCGATACAGCTTTCCAGTCCGCCCCCCACTCTGGGCCCGCGCTCACACGGTCCTCCGTGGCCAGCTCCTCCTTGAGCGAGCTTGCGCCGTCTTGCCCCGGGCCACACCTGCAGGCCGGGCGCGAGACGGACGACCTGACCCGGTTCCACGGTTCCCCTTCCCCACACCCCCGCAGAGCGCCGCCCTACCCCAGGTCCTTAGGTTCCTGGCCCTTTCTCAAGGCGCCCCGCGCAGCCGCCGACTCCATCACCTTGGGCTGCACTTCTTGCAGGAGGGGAGAGGGACGACTCAGGGCTGGGGGAGGAGGTCTGCTAGGGGACTGGAAGCCCGCCGCCGCCGCCACAGGGTAGGGCAGGAGAGGCGAATTCCGCAGGGGAGTCCGAGGTGAGATGGCTCTCAGGGCAGGGCCGACGGGCACCTGCATGACGTCCCTCTGCTCTTGGGGCGGCCCAGGCCTCC